TCTGTAATGGAATACATTTTAAAAGTAACCTTCCCAACACTGATTATATGAAGCCGGAAATGAATTCAGACTTATGATGAACACGTCTTCAATTAATTCTTTGTCTCCAATGTTAACAGTAAATACATTTATTTAGTTAGAGCTTATACAAGTCTGCATTAGGCCAGACAGACTCAAAAACCTTCTGAAAATCAGTAAAATGTGAATTTCTTTTCTATCAAGGAAATCTAGGACTCTTGGGATACTACGGAATAATTCATCTGGACAACTGCTGACTGAAATACCACAGCATGGTTTGATTTATCCAAGCCTTTTGGAGCAGATGCCACAAAAACATCCCAATTGCATTATGATATTGAACAGCTTCAACACTGCACAATGCAGTTTAGGGAGTGCTGGATTTGAGCATTTCATTTTTAGCCCTTAACTTTAAAAGCCTGATGGGGTACCGTCGTCAGTTTGTGAATGTGATAACTTAAGAACAAGTTGACGTAGGAGCTTCAAGTTGATACCATACCATAGGTATATCTACTAAAAATCTCGGATGAGTTTGAATCTCGGTGACCTCAACCTTAAAGTCTAGGTCAGAGGTCAGGTTTTCTCAAAATCTTTTGATTCGAGAACAAGGCGTTGTAGGATTTCAAAGCCTCTGCTAGGAGGCTCATCTTTCTTCTGATGTATTCTTTTCATTCTCTTACTCTTGGGGAATTATTAGCGGGTTTAAATTGCTTCTCAAGCTCTAGAATGAACTGGAAATTGGTTTTCCATCACTGAGTGGGTTATAGTGTTTATTTCATCCCTGATTGTATCCTGTTGTGTCCACAGAGCTCTACAGTTACACAGAAGAGCCAGAGTTTGCCCTCAACAGAGACTACTTCGAGGAGGACTTCAGAAGCCATGGTAATGTGTGTGTGAGTGTGTGCGTGCATGTGTGCGTGTGTGTGTGTCTTCAAGTTCCAGAATTACAAAATTGCACTTGCACACTAAAGGCTGTAAAAGCGACGTGTTCAGTGAGCTGCTGTGGTTTACAACCTGACCGGTGAGGTGAGGCGAGGGTGAGCAGACACATCAAAGCTCTGCTCTTTTAAGCTGTTCAAAGAATTGATATCCCTACAGATTGAAGGGGCCACCCTTAAAGCATGTGATTAACGTTTGGTTATCGAGAACAAAGCGGCTTTTCCAGTCTGTACGTCGGCGTTATTATCAGCCTGACAGGAGATCGAGCTTTAATACGGTGTTGCTTTATCTGCTTTTGTGTGGAAAATTGCATTAAATTACGTTTTTGCTGTTGAGCAAGAAGAAAAACTTTCTTCTTGATTTATTTTTATTGTGACAAAGTCGAGTTTTCTGTATTGAGGGAGGTATTATTTTTAGGTTTAGGGCGTTACATCAAGTCCTGCAGAGACGGTGTCGAGGCGCCCTTTGTAGACAGTTTGAATCAGAAGAGAGCGGTCCTCGCCGTCTGTCACTTTCCCTCCACGCTGTGTGATGATGAATAGCAGAATTAGATGAGAGCTTCACTGTTTTATGAAGAATAGAGGACAGAGCTGCCTGTTTGCATCACTGTCTTTCCATTAGTGTTTATATGTGCGGTTTCCTGTTTGACTCGTCCTTTTTGTGGACGTGTTAGTGTAGCATGTGAGAGCTCATCAATGTTTTATCCTCCCCGTCACTCTCATGAATTACAGTTATTATCAAGGCACGTCTAATTGATGGTCTTTGCTGTTTAAAAAAAACGTTTTTTGTGATGTGTGCTGTAATTAGAACGTTTTTTGTGTGTTTTCCTTGCACAAGTGAGAGTGTGTTAAGTTGAAAGAGATCAGTGAGGATGCTTTACTCCTTAATGCTTATCACCGCCTGTCTAATCAACCGAAGAGTCTAAGAGTAGAAGATGGGAGGAAAAAAATGCCATAGTCCTTGCTAGAGACTGAGTGCATTTCTGCAGTGCTGCTGTTTTTGTAGTTGTTTGAGGTGCACTCAGACTCAGTTTTTGCTCGTCTTAAAAATAGTGTTTTTTTTAAAGCATACATCAGGTTTCTCCTCATTGCTTTCAGCTATCTCCAGAGCTAATGCAGTGAGCCACAACATACAAGTCTGCCAAAATATCTGAATATAACGGATTCCCAGATGGCAGAACTAACAGCTACTTTTGCAGTTAGCTAAATTAATTGCGTGCACGCCACAGTGCCGTAAAATTAAAGCTGGAAATTTGCGCTTTAATCACATCTTAATTGTTTGATATGTAATCCACTGTGATGAAGAAAACACCTAACGAGAACAGGAAATGATAAGTACCTCTTTTGTGCAACAGCCAATGAGAATCCTGGGTTTACGACATCCATGTTATTATAGTGCAGCACGTAGCAACTGCATCATTCCTTGACCGTAGCAAACCAGGGTACGAGGACTGTGTCATTATTATAAAATTATTTATATTCTTGGTATTTTGAAAAATTAACTTCCCTGTAGATTCAGATTGTTTTCGAGTTTCTTTTCCTCACTTTTTCCTCCACTCGTGAGTTTGTAACAGGAACTTTAGCATCTAAAAAATGCTGCAAAGTGCATCAAAACGTTGAAAAAGTCGACACAGATACACTCGGAGTTCTCTAAGGCACAGAAAAAAAATACAAATTAAATTTCTCTGACTGCAACCTTGAACCTTTTGTTTCTGTGTCCTTTCTGCAGCTCGAGGCAGGCGGTGGATCGAGCTGACGGTGGAGGAGCAGAGGGCGTATGTAATGAGGCTGCTGGACGCGCTGGAGGTGACGGACAGGGACAAGAGGCTGAAGGTGGCCAGGGCCATCCTCTACCTGGCTCAGGGTGTGTGGGCTGCACAAAAGCCTTTTTCACAGCAGACATTTAGGTTTTAGAGAAAACGCACATATCTTGCTGTTTATATTAACCATGGCTAAGTCTTCAACAAGGTCGTGACAGTGAGCCAGAATGCACAGCACCTGAATTTACACCGGTCACTGCTATTCTGCCATCATTTGCTTCGAATAGTCATCACTTCTCGCCTTGTTTCTCCAGGAGTGTTTGATGAGTGTGACACAGAGGTGGATGTCCTCCACTGGTCCAGGCACAACATTTTCCTGCTGTACGACATGGGCATCTTCACAGCACTGCTGGAGCTGCTTAGCATGGAGATAGAGTGAGTAAGACACCCTGGTTATAAATGTAACATTGTTCCTTATGCAGTGCTGCAGGGATGTTTCCAGGCTGGGGTGCAAAGCGCTCCTGGGGGAGCAGATGCTCCATCGCCCTCCTCGCCCTTCTTGTGGATTGCCTCAGTTGCAATGCCCGTTCGGGTCCCCTTCGCTGGGGTGCCCCGGCGGGTTGACTTAGAATGAGTGCAGACCAGGGGAATCCGACTGTTTAATTAAAACAAAATTATCAAAAATAATAGAACTGTAAGAGCCAAAGTCAATGTTTATGTTTTGCCTTTTTGTTATGGTGCCACAGGTGTATAGCCTTACCTGTGTCTCAGGTGATGGCATGTGGGTGTGGTCACAGTCTATTTACCTGATCTCGGTGTTCGCAGCAGGTGTGGTTTGTGGGCAAACTTTTCTGTTGACCGTCATTTTTTGGCACACCAGTTAATCCATGGGCTATTTGTAAATTGATTGAAAGCGCAAACGTTTGTTTTGTTTTGTTCTTAAAATAAATGCACAAAGTACAAGTATGACTCATTATGGATTATTGGAGGCGCGTCACAGGGACACAACCAACTCAGCCGGCCGTGGCTTTATTTACGGATGAAAGTCGCAACAAGAACAATTATAGAAAACTGAGGTACAAACCTCTGTCCTATCGCAGATTTATTATAAGAAAAGTGGAGATTCAAACAAGCTTTTTATGGGCTGGCATAGAAGCATGCTGCAGCCATGACCCCTTGTAGACATGTCCCTGCAGTGCAGTGAAAACGTTTTTGCCTCATTCTTGAGTTCTTTCTTTTTTTGTTATATTTCTTACTCTTGCATGTTTCAGATCATCAATTTTTAACCTTAGACAAATATAAACTAGTAAATACAAAATGCAGTTTTGTAAATGATGATATCATTAATTGAGTGAAAATGCCAACCTCGTCTTGTGTGAAAAAGTAATTGCCTTGTTCACGTCTGAGTCTAACTCAGAATAAGTAAGGGAGAGAGGGGCTAGCATCCCCTGGAGATCAGAGAGAAAACAGAGAGAAAGAGAGAAGCGAGGAATATGCAGAGGCTGATGAAGATGGTCAGCCAGGCAGAGATGAAGCTGAAGCTGAACAGACAGATGGCTGTGATCTAATCACAAATCCAGTCCATCATTTGATGATGTGGTCAGTTAAAGATGACTAATGTATGCAAACTTGCCACTTTAGTTACATGGTCACATACAAATGTAATGATACTGGGAGCGCATTGTAACTGGATACATAGCACTACACCTCTCTTCATTACTTCAGAGAAGCAGAGACACGCAAAAGGCTGCTGAGGAGAGACTATAGGTAGCGTGCCGCCTGTGATCAACAGACCCCTTCACTGGGAACGCGGCGTGACAAAGGCTCCTTCAAGCCAGCTTTGTTGCTGCTGGTGTCAGCCTCAGTTGGGCTTCAGTGCTGCTTTGTTGTTACATAAGCTGCTGCGAGGCATCTTCAAGTTGCATAGAGCTGCAGAGAAGGGCGGTTTCAGCAAGACGAGCAGGAAAAACACGATGAAGTGTTAATCATACAGGTACAGGTAGTCTCACCTGCGACGTATTCAGAGACTGGCTTGCCACTTTCAGATAATCCACTAAAATCACGTAGCGTTTGTTCCCGCAGCAACAGCCAGGCGTGCAGCAGTGCCGTGAGGAAGCCTGCCATCTCTCTTGCAGACAGCACAGAGCTCAGGTAAGCAGCATAAAACCGATTCAACTTCCTGTCTGCTTCAGATCAGGAGGCCAATAAATACTGTTTAAAAATAACCAAAGTGCTTAACTTCATGCCATCTGGCCTAATCTGCAAAATGTAATTGTATTCGCTGACTGTTGTCCTCACATTCGTTTTCACTCTACTTCTGCCGAATGAAATTGATTTTTTTTTAACACAACAGGCCTTACACACAAACACATGAAATCATACGATTCACACACATACAGTAGCGCCGTCTGTGCGTTCCCTAGATGAACACTTACAAATAATTACAAGCTAGACGAGTGGATTTGCCTTTAATTACTGCCGCAGAACCGAAAGCCATTATAGTCCTTTTGAACCGAGCGAGAGGCTTTGTTGAGCGAACAAAGCCTTTAATGTACAAAACACCACCTGTATTGCATCAGATAATTACGAGGGAATGGCTGCATGATCCAGCCAGAGCTCGGAGATTATTTTCTCCTAAATGCGCGAGCAATTTGCAAAACCAAGCGCTACTTGCTTATAATTTCCTCTGTTATATCAATGATTCTTGTACTTATAGGCCACTTAGGGCCATTATATCTGGTCACGGCAGCAGTTAAATGCATGCCACACACAGACAAATGCACACATAACCTCAATGTGTCCATGATGAGTTCTTTGGACGTTTCTTTTTCTCGCAGAGTCTTACTGAGCATCATGTACTTGATGGTGGAAACCATTAGAGTGCAAACAGAAGACGACCGACCTGAGTGGATAGCAGCCAGAGAGGCCTTCAAGAATGAGCTCGGTGTGTGCGTGTGTGTTTATTCAGTATTTTGAAGTTACATGAGTATATCTTTTCATTGGCTTTCATGCTGCATGTCATTTTATTCCATTTAAAAACATTGCCTTTGACCTCCCCTCCAGCTTCTCCTCTTTACAACGGAGAGCCCTTTGCTCTACTGCTTTTCACCATGGTGACCAAGTTCTGCAGCATGAACGCGCCACACTTCCCCATGAAGAAAGTACTACTGCTGCTGTGGAAAACAATACTGGTCAGTGTGTTACAGTCAGGTTGTTGCATGTAATGCAAATGAATCTATTTCTGTCCATGTCTGCATTTTTGTTTTGCTTTTTTTTTTTTTTTTTTAAATAAAACCAGTTTCACAAACACTCAGCGCCCACTTCATTATTTAGACCTTGCTGGTACCTGGTTGGGCCTTATTTTGCTTTCATAGCTGTCTTAATAGTTTGTGGCATAGATTCAACAAGGTGCTGGAAATATTCCCCAGAGATTTTGGTCCATATTGACATGATGGCATCGCACAGTCGCTGTAAATTCGCTACTCTGTTGCATTGACATCTGGTGACTGTGGAGGCGCTGGAGTGCAGTGAACTCGCTGTCAGTTTGAGATGGTTCGAGTTTTGCGACGTGATGTTTTATGCTGCAGGAAGCAGCAGTCAGAGGATGGGTACACTGTGGCCATAAAGGCATGACAAGGTCAAAAACAGTACTGCGTTTTGTAGGCTGTGACGTTTAAATGATACAAAATTACCACTGCGGGGCCCAAAGTGTGCCAAGAAAATGTCCACAGTATTACACCAGCAGCAGCCAGAATAGTTGATACAAGGCAGGATGGATTCATGCTTTCATCTTGTTTACACCAGATTCTGACCCTGGCGTCAACAAGGCATTTTCTCCCAGAGAACTGCCAATCATTGGATAGTTTCCTTTTTTTTAATACCATTGTCAGATGGCTATGATGTGGAAAATCTGAAAAATACACAGCCCATCTGGCACTAACGCCATGCCAGGTTCAGCCACTTGGATTGTCTTTCCTCACCATTCTGGTGCTCAGTTTGAACTTCAGCAGGTCGTGATGACCACGTCTACATGACTAAATACACTGAATTGCTGCCATGTGATTGGTTGATTAGGGGGGGGAGTCAAACAGGCTAATATTTTTAAAGTGTGACCAACATTGTCATCCATTGTCAGCTGGGCAGGGATAGCTCAGTAGGTAAAGTGGTTGCCTTATGATGGGAAGGTCGGGGGTTCGAATCCACTGAACGGCTACCCTGAGCAAGGTACTGTCCCTACACAGTGCTCCCTGGGTGCTGTACTGGTGGCTGTTATTTCCCTATGGGGACTAACACATTATTGTTAACAAAATTTTATTCCCCTGTTAATAGACATTACTTAAACTTTGTTGGTAATATTTTATAACACATGAATCATTGTTTACCTGGGTCTTTTCTGTCTTCCAGTTTACTTTGGGAGGTTTTGAGGAGCTCCAGGAGATGAAGGTGCGACACCGGGAGCGTCTCAACCTGCCCCCACTGCCAGAGGACAGCATCAAGGTGGTCAGGGCCATGAGAGCGGCCTCGCCCCCGGCCTCCGCCATGGAGCTCATCGAACAGCAACAGCAGCAGAAGAGAGGCCGCCGCAGCCGCAGGGTACTAGCCCTCGAGCACACACGGACATCACACTGAAGCTAAATCCATTTAGACAACGTTTAGGTGACAGTGTCACTTTAGTGTATATTGCTGGCATGCTGTTATTAATACAAACTCATGTAATGTTGATCAGTTTCATCTATCTACCCTAGTAGACTCTCACTCTCTAACTCTTTGCTGGGTCACCTTTTTCCAAAAGTTCCAACATCATCAGTTCCCTGCTGTAAGTCAGTGACCACAGATGATCTTGGTGC